TTATGTGGCTGACATTCGTGAGCCACACGTGCGCCCCCTGACCCATGAATTGTTAAAAATAAAAGAAGAGGAATGGTGCTTCCAGCAGGATTCAGTACCTGCCCACAAGGCCCCCTTGACTTAAAACTGGTGCCGGAACGATTTCCCGGGCTTCATATCCACTGCCGAATGCCCTGCCTTCTCACCAGATCTCAATCCGCTGGACTGCTATGTTTGGTTCAAGTTGGGGCAGATGACCTGCACTAGGAATCATCCAGATGTGGAGTCTCTAAAGCGCTCCCTTGTTTAATCTCGGAGCAATCTCCCGATGGATAAGGTGCGTACTGCCATCCATAGCCGGCGAGGAATATTATAAGCCCGTGTGAAGGTCAAAGTGGGTTGTTTTCATGTTTAATTTAGGTTTTCTAGGTCAAATGTCTAATGAGAAAGTCAAATGCGACAAGGAAAGGCAAATGCGTCGTTGTGCTGCTTGGGAGCGTCAAAAGTGACATTAAGGGAAGTCAAATGCGTTGCTGTGGTGGATGTCGAATTTTAGGGAAAAGCATGTTGGACAAGGAAAGTCAAATGCGACAGATACGCAAGGTATACCATACCCGTGTTAGGGGGAATTGCCTTCTCGTTGCATTTTCAGAACGTGCGGCTTCAGGCGCATTTACATATGTTGCTCCTTTTGCAATTAATATTTGGCAATTACCGAATTGTCAGGGTTAGTCATAGAAATATGCAACCACCAACCATTTCGGGCGGGAAGGCAGTGCTTAATTTCTAGGAAGTGAAGCATTGGAGCTCACTATGTGCACACTGTATTTACAGTAAATAAGGTATGGGGTCTGAGGAAATATTTGTTATGTGACTGGATGTGGGAAGAGCCAAGTGGAGGTGGTGCCAGGTAAGGAGAAGGCTAAAGGGGGCAGGAGATGGCTCAAGCCCTCCTGTGTGCACCACTGCATGCAAGATACCAGAGAACAAGCTCTGAGTTATGATATTACTACCAGAGATACCCGGCATTGCACAGGCGAATATTGTATAAGTCCCATATTTGTCTGCACTAAATACAGTACCCCAGTGCAGGCGACTCCGGCAATCGCCTGGGACGGGGGGAAGATGCTCCTCACATGGGGCGCCATTAGGTCTTGGGCCAGCCCTGCCCTAGGGGGGGGGGGGTCCAAATTTTGAAACGCCACCTAGTCCATGACCATCCCCAGACCAAATGAGGAAGCCATGCAAAGTTTGGTCGGACTGGGATCAGAGGTGTGGCTGTGCATAAAGGACAGATAAACACTCTGAAATATAGTATAGATTTCATGATACTGGAACTGTGTTCTGGACAGCTCCAGCTCAAATTAAGCTCTGCTATGTAAGTACCAAAAAAGATACTGATCATACTAACCTTGAATGGTTTCACATCAGAAAATTGTATGAGTTAGTGGAACGGAAATGTTGCTTTCATTGTCTATGTACCCATTATCCCTTGAAAATACATACTATATATACCTTTGCTACTTGCTTTTAGATGGTTTTCAATTTATTTTCGGCGCAATTCCCCTTGTCTTTCAGAATGGAAGGTGAATTTAGGCGCAATGCATGGAAATTCGCGTTTCAGCCGAGTTTTCGGCGCGCAGGAGATGATGTTCCGCCAACTTTTCGAAAGGAAGAATCATTTTCGGCATCCTGTATCTGCATTTTGGTATTCCTCGTAGTTCGTTTGTGGAAGAGAAGAAATTGAAGAGCGGCGACAAAAAATTCCAGTTGGAAACTGATTTTACCAACATTCGATCGGGGAAGCCACTGATGGGAGTTTTTCAGTCGGATCTCTACCACAATAACGAGAGACCGGCGAAATGACAGGAACTCGCTGCACATCTTCAGAAATCTTACACTCTGCGTGATGAATAAGCCAACCGTTGTAAGCGATGTATTCCGAAATCAAGGAGCTTTAAACCTTCTGCAATACCCCTTAATGAGGATTGTAATTCATTTTGGTACATTTTCCCCTTTGTTTCTCAATAGAAGGGGAATAACGCTGCGAATTTGGATATCAGCGTTCGGTATGAATTTTCGGCAGGCTTTGCCCATCCGCGGCTATTCCCGTCACCTTATATCGGAATTTCAGCATTTCTCCCCACATTTTGTCATTTGGAAAACACAAAACGGACGGTCGGCGATTGAAATTCATCGAGGAAATTGGATTTCGACACAAATGACGATATTCGGCACTCGGGCCCACTTTTCAGCCGGATCTAGCTAGTGAAGACCTGTAAAATCACTAACATATTTCGACTCGCAAACATGTGTTAGGAGTTGCTGTCGCACTAGGAATGGGTAATGACGGGTTTAAAGTCGGAGTGACATCTTTCCAAAATAGGGAGAAGTTTTTTCGTTTTTCGCTGAAATGGGGGTGGAACTTTTGCCTATCCCGCAGCCCTTTTGACGGAATTCCCATTCCACTCGTAAGAACGTCCATTAACAATCTACCCAGAAATGTCTCAAATTTCCATTTGCGGTCCGCTCTACCGAGGAGCAATCTGTGAGTATTCACTAGCAATCCTTTCAATTTCATTTTTGCTCGTCGATAGCGAATTTTAGCCGGAAAGGGTCACGTGACAATGTATTCCAGATTCCGCTTCAAATCTTGAGATTCCATTCGCCGTATTCCACATTCAGTTTCACGTAGGACAGTAATGGAAGAATGTTCCCTTCGAAACGCCGAAAATGACATTTCATTGTCGAAACCGCGTGTCTCCTAATACAACCTATCCCTCATGGACGATAACGGATATCTTTTTGCCGGAAATGCGGTCAGTTTTCACCGATACTTCTGCAGACATTCTTTAACTACGGAATGCCGAAAATGAAATACGAATTTCTTGTCAGCGGATTCCAATTGACTTAGAGTATTTTTTCACTTTAAACTCGATTTTAGGCTAAATTTATGGCGTTTCTTGCAGTCTTAAAGTTGCAGTTTTCATTACTTGAATAATCAAATAGCCCTTTCCATTCCCCTCGAATGAATACCACATGATTATCCACGGGGGAAGTCTCAAACCTGCATCTAATATCCACACTAGGGCACAGAATGCTCATCATAATGATTGCTACTTTCATTCCCAATTGCTTCTACATAATTATTGTCTTCCATTATCAGGATTTTGAAGGAAACTTGCTCGTTGACGAACTTCAGACACCGCGGACGATCTTGAGATTCTAATCGCCGTATTTCATTTACAGTTTTGCTTCCATAGGAAACGCCGAAAATGACATTTATTTGCCTAAATAGTATGTCTCCGAATGAGATCCAGTTCTCATGGATGAAAGTCGATTCTGATTTGCCGAAACTGTTACAACTTTTCACACATATTTCCAACGACATTCATCACTCGCCAAATGCCGAAAATGAATTGCAAAAGGTATATTAGTTTCGTATTTTTTTAAATAATAATATGGACATTTCTAATTTCCCACTCATGAACTTAGCTACTGCCATATTCCTAATTAAAAAAGTCATGTGTAACTTTGGGTGAATCCAAGTATTGTTCTTTGATTTATTGTTTCTGTTTGGACTCATTCAGTGTTTTTGTTTCTTTCAGGGAAAATATGTCTACAGGGTAGTTGGGACCATCACAAGTTGGTATTGAAAACTCTCATTGCATATGGTAGAAATAGGAAGTTTTTGATGTGCAATCTTCAAATCTTATTATGGAATGGCCTTGAGCATGTTATAATTTGCATATTTCACAGGTTCTTTATGTTTCTTTGCATCCAAACTTCAGGCAACTGATTTTATCCCCCTGGCTAGTCCTGTCCTTAAGCAGGTCACCTTTTCTCACAAAAATACAGTGAAATCCCTTTGAACCAACCACTCATGGTTCTGTATGAAAATGGTCTTATCTATGGGCGATTGGCTCATAGGGGGTCCATTTTGAAGTTAAGAAAATTCCATCCCACAAAAAAAAGTCATTTAGAGGGGTGGTTGGGAAGAGCGGTTTCACTGTTATGCCCTTTACTTTTAAGTGACTTTTGAGCGATTCATTTAATTATCATGCACTTTGGGATAGAATGGAACCCTTTGTCCTCCATGGCCAGGCAGTTTCAAACAACCAGAAGGTTGTGGGAAAGTCCTTTACATTAATCTATTCTGTATCTGTACTTAAGATATTCCTGATTCCACTGAGTTGAATGATTTTGAGGAATTATGCTGATTGATCATCTCAGAACTATTCCTTCAGATAAGTCTATGACTATGGCACTGCTTTCATTACAGAATTGTTGCCTGTGTCACAGTCACAGACAACTCTGAAGGTTATAGTTCTGTTATGCTCAACCTACATAATTCTTCAAAATCATTCAGCACAGTCATAATATCTGAAACCTGGATGCAGAAAAGATTAATGTAAAGGGATTATCATTATAAAGACCTTCTGGTCATATGAAACTGCATGGCCATGAGGGGACAATGGCTATGTACCACCCTGCAAATGTTTCAGAGGACCAAAATGAATGGTGCTACAATGAGATCTTACTCCAGAATTTGATGAGTTCAGTGGCATCTTATGTATCAGTTTCAGAGAACCTCCCTGATACTTGAATGATTAGGAATTAAGGCCTGAGTACAATAGTTTTTTTTATTCATTTTGATCTCATTTGAAGCTGTTGTCTTTCTTGTGAATTGATTATCAATCATTATCTGGAGCAGAAAAAGTTACAAAATGAATTTTCAGAAGCAGTTGCACAAATAACTTTTTTGTTAGGTCACCCTGTAGTTTTTCTGGCTGATTCACTCCTTAACCCCTCAGGCCAGTTTGCCATACCCTGTATGCACAATGTTTTCTTTGCCACAGGCAGCTAGCAATTTAAATACTGGCTTGAGCGGTTAAATTAATTGCATTCTGTGACTGGATCAGTCTGTCTGCATGCAGCTCTCTTTTAATATGCCTCTGCAAGAGGCTGTTTAGTAGCATAACATTTTAATTAAGGTTCAGGTATTTCTTTGAAACTTGCAGCATGTACCTGAAGCCTGAGATTGCAGAGGACCTCATTTCCACCTACTCCACCCCTGCTCATGCCTTGGTTGCTATTTCCGTTGGTAAGGACTGCTTCATGAGAAAAATTTTCAATACTAAAGGCCATTAAAGGCTTTTGCTTATTAAAGGCCAATGACCAACTTGCAGATACTTTAGAAATGGGCAATGTACTTTTATGAGCAAGTCACTTCCTATATTAGCCTTGTTTTGGCTATCCCTTCCCAAGGATTTTCACCACCCCCTCCCCTCCCCCCCAGAAAAATATTGACCTATAGTGCTAGGCATTCTCTGTCACACTTGGTCAGAGAAAGTTGTTTGGGATGTGGCTGCAGGACAGGGCCCAAGGGAGACCTTTAATTTTTCAACTAGAGTTTGTTCTAGGGTACTTTGAACAACAGGCTCTATGTTTGCAGACTGATGACAGTTTGGAAAGATATAGAAGCCTACCTGTTGCATTTTGACTATCAAAATTATTCGCTTTTTTCACTTTAGGGTTCACTTTGGTTTTTATTAGCTTGCCCAATAACTAAATAAGATATAAACTCCAAATTTTACATGATTGTAACATCTCTTTTATTCTTTAAAATCCATCACTCCAAAAGGGCATTAACACCTCTATGTCCAATTTTTTATAGCCAGTTTCAAAGTGACTCCTTGAGGTTTGTGTATACCTCTACTCAGTGTTGTGAGAAGTTTCACAAAATGTATTTGTAGTATTTAAGGTTATTGGCCTTCACTTTATTTTAATATTTGCCTTTACAAACGACAAAATATTGCGTGATGAGTTGGGCTTGAGGGGAGGGGGACATTACTCTCTTGGGTCGCAAGTTTGATATTGTGGGACTCAAGTCAAATCTGGGCCTTTTTGATGTAATGACATGGAGCCACAACCATGTAGTACAGTAGATGATCTGCTCATTGTTTAGTATTTTTGAATAATGGACAGGTAGATCTTATTTAGACCTTGGTTTTGGTAAGCTTCTTCCTAGATTGTACTTTTTTATACAAAAGGAACCAGAATGCAACTGGACTCTAAACTGCTAAAGTCACCCAGGTTTGGCTTAATTAAGTCCTTAGGTATCAAATTTATGATCAAAGGAAAAAATGCCCCCAACTACCTTATTTGACTTGAAAGAACTATGAACTAGATTACTTGAGCAATTGGATAGCCTGCTTTGAATTTTCAAATCTCTTTGGAAGATTTATCGGGGCTTTGTTTATCTGTGTTTACCAAATGCAAATGAGAAATGAGATTTGTTATGGTCAAGGACCAGAAAGAGATAGAATTTTTTCAATTAGGCGACAAAATGAGGGTCTCTTTGACCCGTTCGCTGCTGATGACACACCTCGTCGTTATCCTTTCCATAGAAACGAGTGTCATCAGCAGCAAACGTGTTAACTGAAAGGAGGCCCACTGCTGGACTGGGCTTGCCCAGCTTGTAGTAAGTTCTACACAGTATCATAATTCAGTGCTGCATTCCTACCAAGCTTGGGCTGTATTTGTACTCCCAGAGTTAACATATATTCCCACTTGAATGGCATGCATGTGGCTAATATGGTACATTGGAACAATATGTAAGCATTTGATTTTTTCTGAATGGGTTCATTCACCAGTCAATTATATCCTCTTGCAGGTTACTTCATTGTGGATTCAGTGGACATGTATGTCAACAACAAGGGTAGGGCATCTTATGAGCTTCTTGTCCACCATGTGTTTGTCATCTTGTGTTTTGGCCTCACTGTTGTTGTGGGTTACTATCTGGGCTATGCAATAGTTGCCCTCATCTGTGAGGTCAATAGCTTCTTTCTCCACATTCGGCAACTCATGCTCATCCAGGGTGTCCCCAAAGAGACCTCTTGCTATCGACTCAACAGTCTCATCAACATTGGTTCGTTTCCATTGGTCATGTGACATTCTCTGCCCTTCAATATTATCTTCCATGATCATGAAACCTGCCAACAGGACATATCTTGTCAAAGTAAAAATGAAATGCCCCACAGTTATTGAAAGCAGGTTTGAAATGTCATGATTCAGTCATGATATTGCATGAAGAAATTGTGGAAGTCATTCTTTTACATTTTAAGTTGATCAAATGCAGATAGGAAAAGAATATTTGTTAAGCAGGAATGAAATGATAGGATATATTGACAGTAATTTTCCTTTTGAAGTCAGCAAAAGAGAATGAGGTAAGCTCTCATTCACAACCTTGACTTGTCATTTTTGAGCAGAGGTTCTACTGCAATAATCTTTCTTGGTTTTCCAGTAGCCCTCTGTACCAAGAATGTTTTCCCAATGCACCAGCAATGCACTGTTTTTTTTATTTTTAAACTAGCCTCCTTTTCATGAACAAAAAAGTATGAAGTTACTCTGTGCTGTGCGAGACTTTCTTTAACACGTTAACTGCCATGTGACACACCAGCATGTCACAAGGTGCCACACATGTGCCACAGAGGTGCCCTTGCCAGTTAACATGTTAATGTCCTCAGGAATGTGGCTGCTTTAGTTCAAATTACCAACTTTTCAAAATAACTTAAAGAAAGGGATATGTACTTTTCACATGGTGAAGTGGATGAAATTAGGTTCCTTTTACACTCTGGCTGCCAACCATCAGTACCTTAGCCAAACCTCATAGCAGTTTTGGGGGTTTTCTTTGGATTATTTCATCCTGTTTCCTTCCTTATATCCTCCTTCATGTTCACAATGACACTAAAAATGTTCATTGCTGTTTTGGCAATGTGGCGTGTTTTCTATGCCAAGTCTGGGTTGAAGCGTTACTCAACATTTTGCCATATTAACCCTTTCGCTGCAACGTTTGACTATAGTCGAACTGTGTCGCATACCCTCTGATTGCGATGTTCGCCTATATTATTCATCCAGGAATTTTTTTATGCTCGCTGCGATATTCGACTTCAATCCCTTGATCTGTAGAACGCAAAACTTTATCAGCTCAAATACTCGGTACGTACATCAGTTCAAAAGGGTCGAGGCCATGTTTAAAAATTGCAGGATGGCATGCTTGGGCTAGAATGTTTTCCCTTCTTGTTTTAACTATGTCAAATCAAGGGAACTGTCAATCCCATGTGAAGTGTGCCACATGTGGGTTGTGACTTACTTTGACATTAACTATGCCCTTAGTTTCAGTTGTTGGGTACGGTGGAGCTAAAATTGATTAAATGTGAAGAGATTAGAATTTTCATCCGAGGAAAATACACCTGTATAACACCGCTTGGAAATAAAAATAAATCAAAAGAGTGACTCAAAAGCTTCATCTTACATGAGTGTTTTGAAGGAGTGACTTTTTTCCCAGCAAATCTACATATGGTAAGTTCTTACAGGATTTGATTTGTGCATGGTGCTACATTGGAAAATATTAAGAGATGGATTTCATAAAAGAAATCCTTAACCTCTTCCTTCCGCTCGATGCACCATGTCCAAAACCCAAAAGCCATTGAAGTTTGGCAGAAGTTGGGCTAAGTGGGTAAAAGTGTTTCTTGAAAGAGTGTGACATTGTGCTATCCTATACCATATCGAGAAGCCAGATAGGCTCATATAATGGCGTTGTATTGATGTCTACTTCAATGAACTAGGGACATTCTTGATTTTCCGAGTGGTGACACTGGGCTGGATGACGAGATGGTTGGTGCTTCATCGTGACAAGGTCTCTTTGCCTGCATACACCCTGGGTAGCGTAGGTGAGTGCTTTGGCCATTCCCTCCATTTCAACGTTCACAACTTTGGAGTGCTAGGCTAGACTGAGACGCAGTTTACATCCTTTGAAAAGCAAAACAAATTTCAATAGCTTGAAGGACGTTTTCGCGTTATTTTCTTGATATTGTTTCTTTCTGAGACGTAATTTAACGTTCTTATTTTCGCCGGGCCATTGTCAACCACAAGTCGATCGTCCGTATAGAGTCTAATTTTGACAGGACAGAAACAATTGCATATCTTCCCATTATAGTCGTTCACAAATTGGTTGTTCTGAAGAAGACGCTAAATTGTTCTACAAGATTTCTCAATCACCTGTCGACTCTGCGCACAACAGTAACGACCGAAAGTCATTCGTTGAACGAATTTTGCAGAAGGATCTCAAGCTCTCAACTTTGATGTGCTCTTGTTCGAAATTATACAAAGAGTCATTGTCTTATTATTTTTCAGGGTTTCGAATTACCCTTTCCGAGTTGCAGTCTGAAAGCTCAGCCATGAGTTATTATCAGTCAAAAGGTGGGCAGGTTTTTTTTTTTTTGCTCAACCTGGATAAGCATATAGGGGGGATGTTAGTCTTATCAGCAGAGTTCTCATTGAGGGTCTACATTGCGCAGGTAGATATACACAAGGACACCTCATCTCTCAATTTCATTCTCTCCCACTTATGTAACAATCTTTCAGGGGCTTGTGATTGCTTATATAACACTGTTGAAAATTTTGATAATTCCAAAAGATTATATTAGGGGTTTAGAGGCAGAGCAGTATATCTTATAAGAGTTTTTTTTTCCGTCGGCCAAGGGAATGGAAGGAAAATAGTACAAATGACTTTATTTATAATTGGGCTTAATCCGGTATTCCATTGGTAATAAGAGATCGCTCATTTATTCTTCCATGATGTGTAGTTCTGGTTAGGCTCCATTTTGAATATTGCGTTCAATTTTGGGGCCCTGCAAATAAATGTGATCCATCGGCACTCGAGAGTTCAGAGGCGAGCTACGAAAATGATGAAAGAGATATGAGGCCTTTCGCGCAAGAAGCGTTTAGAAACGCTGAGACTTTTCTCGTTCGAGAGAAAGCTAACGAAGAGGGACCTCGTCCAGGCTTTTAAAATCCTCAAAGGATTCGATAACGTGGAGAGTGATAGATTCTTCCAACTCGATGGTAGCAGCAGAATGAGAAGAAACCAGTTTTTTTTTTATAGTAAGCTTTTTAGTAAGCGAGACTCAGGTTGCAGAATGACTTCTTTACTTTAGGGCAGTCTTGCTTTGATTACTTTGAATGCTTTGATTGCGTTAAGAGACGATGTAGTGGCTGCCCCTTACTTATAAAGCTGTAAGAAGAGGCTTAATGCCTTCATGGACAAAATAAAAATTGGTATCAATGTAGCTGTAAGCGACCAGGCAGTAGGTGGATATGCTCTCACAAAATACAGGGTTTCCCAAAAGTTTGTTGCCCCTATCGATACTGTTATGTACAGTACTTGTTGTACTGTATATAACAGTATTGTTATATACAGAACATCACTGTACAATACACACTGTTTTTAATGCTGTGTATAAAAGTGTTAAAATGTTCTCCTTCAATAAATAAATAAATTAGATTGACTTCCTTCCATCGGCTTGTTCCTGGAAAATTATCGAGTAGAGTATGAAAGCTTCCGCTGATCAATTCGTTAACATTAGGGAATCGGGAGACGTATAGCGGCGGGATGAGCGCGACCTCACTTACATTATTGGAACTGATATTATACGCCCGTCCATTTATGCTTCAATTCCTGTACCGATAAGTATCTAACAGGTCAGGTCAAGGTTTCAGGGAAATTGTTGTAATCTCCTACCCAGACCCTGGAGGCATGGCGGGAAAGGAGATGGTGCAACGAACATTATGAACATCGTGAGCTTACAGGAGTCATTTTCGCGTGACAATAGTGGGTCCTACGCAGGGCCGTATCTAATATTTCATTTCGGGGGTTGAGGTCTGGCGTATGCGCTGCGGCTATTTAAATACTTGTCATTGTAAGTCTTTGTGACATACGAGGTCTGACAATAAAATAACGAGACTGACAACACTGTAATGCGTGTGGCAACACTGGGTGGATGGCAATTGCTGTAACCTGTCATTGCATGTCTTAAGTCTCTGCAATAACAAACTTGTCGTGATACTTCTAGTGATTGCAGAGCAATACCACTTTACCTAAGGTAGTGTCAGGGGCACTCGCCAAGAAAATGGGTGATACGAGGGTCACTCAATAAGTTATCTACCTGAATAAAAAAGAAACATCCGAGGGGAAAAATAACACTTTATTTTTCAATGTAGTCACCTTTTAACTCGATACACTTATTCCACTTTGATTCCAAGGATTTTATTCCCTGGGAATAGAAGTCAACTTCTTGTCCATCAAACCAATCAGAAACGGTAACTTTCAGCTCTTCATTGCATGAAAATCTTTTTCCCCGCAAAAATTTTTTCAAGTGTCTGAACAGAAAATAGTCANCCTGATCAGAAGCCTCCACAGGGCGCCCCGATCTTGGGTCATCTTCGATCGACTCTCTTCCCCACTTAAACTGCTTGCTCCAAAATTTAACTCGGTGATAAGAAGGCGAAGACACGCCATAAACGTTAGACATACGTTCGTGAATCTCCTTAGGTGCTTTCCCATCTTTGGTGAGGAATTTGATCACCGAACGATGTTCGACTTTCGTCAAATCCATGACACGGACTCGGGAAAAGAAATCTAATGCGCTACCACTTTGAACGGACTCGAGCCACCGAGCTGGTATAGTGGTGGGGCACTCACGAGACCTGTCGAGACATGTCACAGCAGGCACAGGCCTGTTGCTCATCCCTTTCATGTTCAGGTAGATAACTTATTGAGTGGCCCTCGTAATATTATGAACAAAGAATCAACGTGAAATTTCTAATCAAACTCGGGAAAAAACCAACTGAAGTCTTTGAAACGTTTAACTCCGTTAAAATCAATCGTACTGTCTCTCTATTGATACACAGTTCTTCGGCAATCATTCTGACAATAAGACGACGATCACTTCGCACCAGAGTTCTCACATTTTCCATGTTTTCATCCGATTTTGAAGTTGTCGGGCGTCCAGGTCGTTTGTCAAACGCAACTTCTTCCCTTCCTTCAGGAAAGCGTTTACAACATTCAAATACATTTTGCTCTGGACATAACCTCATCTCCGTACACTTGTTTCAACACTTCAAAGACTTCATTTGGTTTTTCCTCGAGTTTGATTAGAAATTTCACGTTGATTCTTTGTTCATAATATTATCACCCATTTTTTTGACGAGTGCC